CGCGGGGCCGGCGGCGCGGGGCCGGGCGGCGGCGGGCCGCGGGCTTCCAGCCACTTTCCCTGTCTGCCGGGGCGAGGGTGGCAGTTGGACGCGGCGGCGGCGGCCAATTACGTGGCGGCCCGGGCATCAGCCGGCACGTCACTTCCGACTCGCCGAGCTCGGGCTGCTCACGGCCGGGGCTCGGGAGGCTTCCCTGGCGGCCGGCTCCCGGCGCTGGCGTCCGAGGCCGGCGGGTCGCGCGCTCCTCGCCCCGCTGTTCCCGCGCCTCCGCAGCCGGGTGTGTGCGTCCGACGGTCCGCGGCGCTCGGGACGCCGTCGGCGGGTGAGAGCGAGGCCGCGCGCTGGGCTCCGAGCCGCGAGAGCAGCGGCGCTTGGGGAGGAAGAGGTGGGAGACCTCACGCGGGTGCCTGCCAGCCACCCCTCCCCGCTCTGCTCTCGCTGCGTAAAGGTTCGCGGCTTTGGGCTTTGGGAGGAGGCGGTGAAAAGTGCTCTCGTGGCCTGCAGGAGCTGGTGCTAGCGGGGTGCAGCGTTGCCGGTGGCCCGAGAAGCTTGCTTCGCCCTACCCGCCTGGGCGGTGGCGTGCAGCGGCGTTGAGCGAAGTGAGCGGGCTTTAGTGTGTGGGCCTTTGAGAGGACGTAGTTGGACTTGTGTACGTTTTGTGAGTCTATTTACAAATTGTGTAGCGTTTAACCTTTCATCCTGGGAGCCACAACGTTTTGTTGCATAAAACACGACCAGATGGCCAAGAAATAAAGATTTAGGATCCAATTTGCTAATTATTGTTATTAAGAGACGGTCTCGCCATGCTAATTATTGCTATTAAGACACGGCTGGCCTTTAGCTCACTATGTAGCCCAGGCTGGTCTCGCAACAGTTCTCCTGTCTCAGCCTCCCAAATGCTGAGATTATAGGTGAGTGCCATCACACTAGGCTTAACCTGCTAATTATTATAGGCCTGTTTATTCCCTGTTTTTAGTGTTTCATTGCCTTAGCTTTTTCTTGGTAGCCAACAACTAAGATTACAATGCTTCCAAAGAAAACTACACTTACAGTGTTAACTTTGTTCCCATTCACTGCTATTTTGCCAGTAGAATCTTTAGCAGCTGCATTTGTTGCATAGTTCACAAACACCTGGATTCTAAGGTAGTTTGAAAGCCACTAACATTGCCTTTAGGCTGTGGGAGCAGAATAATGCTGGTGAGATTTTTCTGCTTTTGATTTAATTTTGTAGCAGTTAAGGTATTGTAGATGTGCCTTTCTGGCTTGTTTATAGATGATCATGAAGGTAATTAAAATGCATTTTTAGGGGCTGGTGAGATGGCTCAGTGGTCTGAAGCACCTACTTAGAACAAGCTTAGCAAAGCACAGGGACTGCTGTTCAATCCCCCAGCACCACATGCCAGCCATCCCCGCCCCCTGGTGGGCTGAGCTGGCCACACACACACACACACACACACACATGCATAAATTTAAAAAAATGCATTTCTAGGGGGAAATGCATTTTGTTGGTACCCGGGATCGAACTTAGGATCTTGCCCTTGCCAGGCAGGTGCTTACACTACTCAACTAACTCCCTCCCTGGCCAAGGAAATGAATTTTTAGTGACCATTAAAAACTTAGTATGGGGGCCGGGGAGATGGCTCAGTAGGATAAGCGCTTGACTGGCAAATGTAAGGATCTGAGTTCAATCCCCGGTTCCGCAAAAAAAAACAAACAAAAAACAAAAAACAAAAAAAACGTAGTATGCCGGGCAGCATGACACATGCCTGTAACTCAGCACTCAGGAGGCTGAGGCAGGAGGAGCAATGTGAATTCGAGACCAGCCTGTGATACAAAGTGAACTCAAGTCCATGAACTGCATAGGGAAACCCTGTTTCAAAAAGATTTGAAAAAAGAAAAAGTGTTATCCTGGAGCTTAATAAAATTATTAAGGGGAAGAATGTTTAGGTAAAACTGCAAAACTATGAGGAGCATACAGTAAAGTTGCCTAAACTGAGCTGATGGTCTCACAACATGGAGAAATGAAGTCATGAACCAGAAGCGGGGAGTTAAAGAGTTTATAAGAAATTAGAACAGCTCGTGGCCTTCCTGGGGAGTCCAGAGCTGTTTAGAGATAAGCAGGGCACAGGAGGTGTGCGATTGGGTGGCCTCCTGCCACAAGTGGCTTTGTAGATCTCAAATGCCAGGTGGGAGCTCAGGCTGTGTAGCCTGGTTATTTGTACTTTAGTTTTTTCAGACCTTAGTGGGCAGTCCCTTCAGCAGGGGCTGGCAGCCTCCTGGTGCCTGGCGAAGTTCGACTTGGTTTTAGGTTCTAGTTCACTGTCTCTTCTGTTAATTATGGATATGATTGGTTCCCAGTTCTACATGAGGCGCTTGCCCTAGGTAGGCGCTAGGTAGCTGGTTCACTCATAAGCTAACTAAATAAGCTGTTTTCTGCAGTATGCAGTACGATAAAACAGAGATTGACAACCTTTCTATGAAGAGCGACAAAGGATGTCTTTTTGGCTTTGCGACCCCCATTTTCTACCCAGTCTTTATAGTGTGAAGACGTCATTGAATAATAAAAATGAGTATGGTTGTTTCAATAAATTTTTTTTGGCAGAACTGGGGATTGAACTGAGGCCCTTGCGCTTGCCAGGCAAGAACTTATTCTACTGAGCTATCTCTCCAGCTCTCAATAAAACTTTATATATGTTGCTGACACAAAAGTAGGGGCTGTGGAGACAGCTCAGTAGAATAAACACTTGCCTGGCAAGTGCAAAGTCCTGAGTTCAATCCCTGGTACCACACACACACACACACACACACACATACACAAAGGGTAGCTAGCATAAAGTAAAAACCATGCTTAGCTTTCAGGGCATAGAAATGTAGAAAGTGGACCAGTTTGATGACCTCTGAACAATATAGTGAAGTACCTAATATGTTTCAAAGAAAAATACTGAGAGTAATCCCAGCCCTAGGGGAGTCTGAGGCAGGAGGATAGCAAGTTCAGCCCAGCCTTCCTCTTAACAAGATCCTCTCAAAATTTAAACTATGGAGGTGTGAGTGGTGGAGATGTAGTTCAGTGTGAAGGCACTGTGCTCAACCCCCAGTACTACTAAAAGCAAAACAGTACCCCACCCCCCAGGTAAACACAGTGCTATTGTGTCAAGGTCTTATGAGAGAAACTGATATAACAGGATGTGCAGATGTCCTGAGGATCAGCCACCGAGTCAGATGGGGAAGCATGCAATGGGCATCTGCACACTGGCGGCTAGGGGATTCAGTCCAAGGTCTGGGGCTCACTGCAGTGTTCTGTGTGAGTCTGTATCAGGAGGCCAATGGGTCTGTGATGGAAGGTTGATGAGTCTACACCAGAAGCTGAAATCCAGCGGGGAGGCCAGAGAAGCCAGGAGACAAGGTCTAAGCTGACAGTGAAGACGGAAGACTGGAGCTTTACATAACCTTTATGAAACGGAGCACCCCATCCTTCAATTCCCTTTTATGTCCTTACTGATGAGCCATCCTAGGGTGGTCCTCTACATCCAAGGGTGTGCAGTTGCTGAGCTAATTTAGTTAAGCTTGTGAACTTTTCAAGTTGACACAGTCAACCACTACAGCTATGATCTATTTTTGTGTCATTTTTAATGAAGAAAATAGGGCTGGGCATGGTTTCACACCCCTATAACCCAGCACTTGGGAGGCTGAGGCAGTAGGATCACTGCAAGTTTGAGACCAGCCTGGGCTGCAAAGGGACCTCACGGGCAGCCTGAATGGCAGAGGGAGACCCTGTCTCAAAAAAACAAAAGAATGAAGGTTATATAAAGGCAATGCTAGATGGCCATGTTTGTGTTCCCTAAAGTTGAAAACCGAACTCTAAGGGACAAGAGTATGAAAATCTGGGCTGGCCAAATAGCTCATTGAATTAAAGCTCCTGCTTGACACAGTGGCCAGGGTCTTGATCCCTGGGCCTGCTGTGCCAGCCCCGCCCCTGAGGCGCACTGAAGTGGAGATTGAGACCAGGTGTGGTGTCGCATGCCTGTAATCCCAGCTCTTGGGAGGCTGTAAACAGGTGGATCACTGAGTCCAATCTAGTAGTGAGACCTGAACACCCTGTAGACCCTTCCCTAAAAAAGCAAACGGGCTGGGGAGATGGCTCAGTAGAATAAGCGATTCCCTGGCAAGCACGAGGGCCTGAGTTCAATCCCCGGTTCCACACACACAAAATTGAACGGAATGAATGAATGCTTCTGCTTCTGAAAAGCAGTAGGTACTTAAAAAAACAAAAATATTAAAATCTAATGGAGAATAGGAATGGGGAATAAGGATAGCTTCTGAGAGACGGGAGGGGTCCCAAAGGGGTTGCTAAGACTGCTCAAAGGAAGTTTTTTTTTTAAATGTGTTTAGTACAGGATGTACAG